GAATGACTCACTGAATGCTAACATGTTACTTCTCTTACACATCTATTTGCATACTTTTTTCCTGAACCCATTTGAACACTGCAGACATAGGTCCCTTTACTTTTAAATGTTTCAATGTATGTTTCCTAAAAACAAACAGGTTCCTTCAAATAACCAGAGTACCAGTGAACAAAATCAGGAAGTTGAGTGGATAAACAAACTATGGTACATCTAGCAGGGGAATACTACTTGGTAATAAAATGGAAAGAAACATTGATATGCAGCAAATGAATATATGAAATACATTAAATGAAAAAACAGTAGCCAATTTCAAAAGATTAAATACTATATGATTCCACTTATATGGCACAGTGGAGAAGGCAAAATTTTGAGCCAGAAATTCGCTGGTATTTAGTGTGGCAAAAGTTGACAGTAGAGGAGCATTGCAAGGGAACTGTGAGGGTGACAAAATTGTATCATGTCTTTTTTGTTTGTTTGTTTGTTTTTTTCTTTTTTTTTTTTTAAGATTTATTTTATTTTGAAAGAGTTACAGAGAGGGAGAGGCAGAGAAGTCTTTCATCTGCTGTTTTATTCCCTAAATGGCTGCAATGGCCGTAGCTGAGCCTATTGGAACACAGGAACCTGGAGCTTCTTCTGGGTCTCCCATGTGAGTGCAGAGGCCTAAGGACTTGGCCCATCTTCCACTGCTTTCCTAGGCACATTAGCAGGGAGCTGGATGGGAAGTGGAGCAGCCAGGATTCAACTGGCACCCATATGGGATACCATCTCTACAGGTGGCAGCTTCGCCACAGCACCAGCCCTTCTGATTTTTCCTTTGATCAGATAAAGGTTTTGTGTCGAGCAAGAATTCCTCAGAAATAAATTATGTGTTCACAATATATCATATGAACAGAGGCTCATAATGTTAAATCAGTGTCTGGCATATTTCTGTATTATGAAGAAATATTTTGAGATTATTTATCCTATTATTTGTAAAATTCTACCTAATTTTTGCATCCACTGATGATTCCTACTAACATCAAGTAGGTACCCTTACATACAAGTTATTGGACATATTTAGCTTGATGGCCCATGGCAGTTATGCACATTACTTACGGGGTTTCTTTTTTTCTCTCTCTCTTTCTTTCTTGGTTTGGTTTGGTTTGGTTTTGCTTATTCATTTGAAAGTCAGAGTTTTTCTGCCTGCTGGTTCACTCCCCAAGTATCTGCAAGCCAGGGCTTCAGCCAGGCTGAAGCTAGGAGCCAGGAGCTTCTCTCATGTGGGTGCAGAGGACCAAATATGTAGACTATCTTCCACTGCTTTCCTCAAGCCATTAGCCGGGAACTGGATCGGAAGTGGAGCAGCCAGGACTTGAACTAGCACCCATATGGAATTCCAGGATTGCAAGTGGTAGCTTTACTCACTAAGCCACAGTGCCAGCCCTGGGATTTCTTAACAGATAAAAATGCAAGGAGCAATTGTTGCTGAACTCTCTGGGTTGATGTCAGGGAGGTTTTGCAGACCATTGAGGTGAACCCTTAGGTGCAAACAGCTATTTCATAATTCCTAGCTACCTCAAGAGCAATTTGTCTCTTTTTGGCAGTTTTGCTTCTCCTCTTCTGTAGTGGAAGGGTACCTACTGCTTGCTTCTGATGTGACTGTTTAATGTTGCTACTTCTGTTTTATGTACTATACAGAGTTGAATGTTTGGTTTTGATTTCTCTTGATAGATAGTCCAAAGTAAAAGTGTTGGATTGCTCAAGCTAAAAAGAACTACTTTGTATCTGTAACAACAGTTGTATGTTTTTACTCCTGTTTAAGAGGTACTCTTTTTAATATCACCCATGTGGTATACCCTTTGTCCTGGTGGGACAGAGAGGGAAGAGAATGTGAAGGAGCTCTGTGTTCTGCTCTCAGATAGTAATTATCCTTTAGTTCCCTTTGCCTTTGCATTTCCTGGATGCTCTCCTAATACTCACTTATTAGTTACTCATCAAAATCAGATGAAACTGGGCTGAGCATTTAGGTCTTGTGGTTAAAATGCCAGTTAGGGACATTAGCATGGAACTGGATTGGAAGCAGAGCTGCCAGGACTCAAACTGGCACTCTGATATGGGGTGCCAGAGTTGCAATTGGCAGCATAATCCACTCTGTCACAACACTGGCCCCGATGATATTATTTATGAGGACAATGGTTTCAGAAAGGAAATGGGCGTATGAATGTTGAAGATCTCTGCCATGGGGCAAGTATGTGGCACAACAGTTAACTTGCCACTTGGGTCACCGTCATCAAATATTTGAGTGTCTGGGTTCAAGTCCTGTCCCTGTTACTGATTCAGCTCCCTGCTAAAGCGTTTTGTGATGCAGCAGCGAAGACTCCAGTACTTGGGTCCCTGCGACTCACATGGGAAGCTTGGATTGAGTTGCCGATTTCTGGCTTCAGTCTGGCCCCCAGCCCTGGCTATTTAGAACAATTTGGGAGTGAACCAGTTGGGTGGGAGAGCTCTCTATTGTCTTTCTGTCTTCCCTCTCCCTCTCCCTCTCCCTCTCCCTCTCCCTCTCCCTCTCCCTCTCCCTTTCAAATAAAATGCGACTAATAACTGAAAAAAAAAAATGCCAGTTAGGATGCCCACATCCCGTATCAGAGTGCCTGTGTTCAGTACGCACCTTCAGTTCTTAACTTAGGAGCTTCCTGCAAATGCAGACCTTGGGAAATAGTGGTGGTGCCCCAGGTTGAATGGGTTCCTGCCATCCATGTGGGAAACCTGGATTGAATTCCAGGTTCCCAGCTTCAGTCCAGAGCTGGTGGCTGTTTGGGCATTTGGGGAGTGAACCAGTGGATGGGAGCTCACTCCCTGTCTCTCTGACTCTCAAATATATATATAAAATATATATAATATATATATATATAAAATATATATATATTATATATATATTTATATAAAAAGATGAAATAGAGTCAGGAGGAAGAAAACTGTTGATAGCAGCTAAGCATTACTCATGCTGTTAGGTTGGAGTCACTGCACTGTATATTTCAGTATGGAGGAGCTTACCAGCACTTCTGTTTCCAAGCACTTGTAGTATAAGAATGTGATTTGTGATGTCTCAGTACACCAAACTTCCACCAAAAAAGTAATTGGGCTTCCAAGTTATATATTAACATTTTAGCTAAACAATTAATTTTGAAATATAAGACCTTGCATTGAATTAAACAGGTTTAGATTATCTGGCAGTACTTTATTTAAAGGAGTGGAGCTTCATGACCTTAGGAGTAGTTACTTGCAAATTATAAGGTTGTAATTGGATACTAGCTTAATTTTTTTTATTATATAAGACGTTTAATTTTGACATTTAAAACATTGATCTGTACTTTCAAGAAAAGACAAGATTGAGTATTGCATGGGTTTAATGTTGACCTTTCTCTTTCATGATAGCAGTGTATCACTAGCTTCCTCTAATCACCCACTCAGGTATATCCTTCCCTCAGTTTTTGGTACATAGTCTTCATTCTTCTTTTTCAAAATGGAGAGGAAAGAAGTTATAGCTCTGAAGTTCTTGAGTCTCTTGCTTGCGGTATGGCATAATTTTGGTTTGTCTTAATTTTAGAGAACTTCACCATAAAGTGATTATCACAAGTGTAAAATATCAAGTTAGAGATTTCAGTCCAAATGGAGAACTATGTGAGGTACTGGCCTCACGCCCCAACTTGTAGATGTTGGCCATAGAGGTAGAAGGGCCTGATAGAGTGACAGTACATACTTTCATCCTTCAGTATGCTTTAAAATACAATATTTGATTAAACCAAAAAAGTATAACTTATATATAGGTTTAAAACAGTAGCTACTGCATAATAATTTTATACTTGTACAAAAAGTTTTCTGATAAACTTGTAGGTTGGAAATAATTTCTAGATCGAAAATAAAATTTAACTCTCCAATTAGAATGCCATGATTATATAATGTAATGAGTATGTCAACTGCAAGTTTTAAAATTAGTGCCACGAATATAGTTGCAGAAAATAGAATTCAAATAATATGCAATTAGGGTTTTGTGTATTTTGCCTTATAGATAGTGATCTGCACATGTTCATTGCAGGGCTTTTAGAACATCTGACACCTCCCCCCCCAAGTATATTAAAATTCCATTGACATTTTAAAGTCTTCTTGTTGAGCTGCTTTTTGAGGTAATAATGACAGGGAGGGACTGTAATCCTAAACCACTGATTAAAAGTTGTTATGTATGCTACTTTTATTAAAGGAAATCAAATCTGAAAAGAAGAGGAAGAGAATGATTTTTTTTTAGGAGCCAAACCGGAAGCTCTTTATCAACCAAGCACTTACAGCATTTGAAAATAGTCTAGTCCTGGTCGGGGCGCTGGATTCTGTCCCGGTTGCTCCTCTTGCAGTCCACTCTTTGCTGTGGCCCGGGAGTGCAGTGGAGGATGGCCCAAGTACTTGGGCCTTGCACCCGCATGGGAGACCAGGAGAAGCACCTGGCTCCTGGCTTCGGATCAGCGCGGTGCGGTGGCCATTAGGAGGTGAACCAACAGAAAAAGAAAGACCTTTCTCTCTCTATCTCTCTCTCACTGTCCACTCTGCCTGTCAAAAAAAAGAAAGAAAGAAAGAAAGAAAGAAAAGAAAATAGTTACGTAAAAGAGAAAGTACTAATTGTGGTTTAAGTTGTGATCTACTAATTTTGTACTAGAAATTCCTTGTGTCCAGTGTCAAGCTATGTCAAAGGCCAATAAACCAGATTTCTAACAAATATGGTCTCTTGTGCAGTGCGTAAACATAGGTGAAATACTTTCCACCTAGATCCTTGCGTACACTTATTTATATACATAGGCATATGGTTTTCTTTACCCATTTGTATGTCTGTATGTATATAAATCTTCAGATGAATAAATGCATAAATATACATGGTGTTCTAGCTTACAGAATTAGAAGTGTAATTCAGTTTACTCCCACAGAGTAAGATTGAAGATAATGAGAACTGAATTAAAGCTTACTTTCTTTCACAGAATTCCTCAGAGAGAGAAGACTGTAATAATGGCGAACCCCCTAGGAAGATAATACCAGAGAAGAATTCACTTAGACAGGTATGAAATTTAGTCTTACTTAAAATAAAAAGCTGCCAATAACAAAACAAAAGACAGGAAACCCTTGGTTTGCCATTTTTTTAGACACTGGAGCTTAAATTAATAGTATTATATTCCAAAGTTAGTGGCCATAGCCATCAGTTTCAATCAGATAATACTGTTTTCCCATTTAAAAAACATCCTTGTTGTACAACTTACAGGACAATCAGTTGGTTAAGTGTAGTGAATATAAAATTAAAAGTTTTCTTGCTCAGGAAAGGTAATTTTAAATGCTTCTTAAGTGCAGATGGCCTTATTTTTCTGTTAAGATTCTTCATATTTTTTTTAATTAATAACCAACACCGATCTACTTGTAATGAAATCAGTTCCTTTGAGCAATATTTCATTTTGGGTTTTTTAGAGATAAAGACCACTACTGGTAGTGATTACTGCTTTTTTTTTTTTCTTCTTTAAAGATTTATTTATTTACATGAAAGAGTTACACAGAGGAGAGGCAGAGAGAGAGAGAGAGAGAGAGAGAGAGAGAAGGAGGGAGAGAGAGAGAGAGAGAGGGTCAGTCTTCCATCCACTGGTTTGCTCCCCAATTGGCCACAACGGCCAGAGCTGTGCTGATCCAAAGCCAGGAGCCAGGAGCTTCTTCCAGGTCTCCCACACGGATGCAGAGGCCCAAGGACTTGGGACATCTTCTACTGCTTTCCCAGGCCATAGCAGAAAGCTGGGTCGGAAGTGAAGCAGCCAGGACTCAAACCAGTGCCCATATGGGATGCTGGCACTGCAGGTGGCAGCTTTACCCTCTACACCACAGCGCTGTGCTGTCCCTGGTGATTACTTCTTAAACATCAAAATGACCAAAAACACTGGCTGAAAATTTATTCTTCTCCCTACTTGTAGCAGTCTTTAATATCTTTCTCATTCACTAGCAAAAAATAAGTTCTTAAAGTGTAGTCAGAAAATAGTGTGACACCTATCGTCCGTATAAAGTTGGGTAACATGAGCACCAGCAGCAGTAAAATAATTTTAGTTTACTTGCATGTATGACATTGTTTTAGGAAGTGGGAGAAAAGACGTAATTGTTGAGTGTGCACCATGAACAGTGACCCTGAAAGGTTGCTAGATATGATGTGACTTGCAATCTGTAGATGAAGAATGTGGAGGCCGGGAGGTGAGATGAGCTGCAAGAAGCTATATGAAGCAGAGATCTCAGCATTGCCAAAGTGTTGCTACTTCTGCCATCTTACTCCAGTTTGCATACAGTGTTAATTTATAGGGAAAGCACTTAAAACCACATCATAGTCATTTTTAAATTTAGTCTACATTAAAATGTGTTTGGATAGGTGCACATTCCCCTCTTTTTATGAAAATAATTCTTTTAAATGGAATTGAATCCCTTCAGGAAGCTTTGTTAAAAACAGAACAGAACAAAACAAACTGAATGATATGAAACAGAAATGGTTTTAACTATTTGGAGATAAAACACCTGATCTGTAAATCTACATCAACAGAAGAATATTGTGTAAGATAAATTTGGAGGTGGATATACTCTGCCCACCGTAGAGAAACAACTGTCAGAAAACAATGACACGACAAAAAGTTTTGGCAACTTTATTTAAGCTAACAAACGAATTTTCACTCTGCAAAGTTATAAATTAATTTTAATAGGCTGATCCAGATGGTCCATTTGGAAAATGGATAGGCTGATCTGTTGAAAATTAAACTAAATTTATCTCTCTCATACTTCAAACTGAAGCAAGAGAGAGAATTGTGCCTATTAAGTCCAGCACATACAGATGGACCAGCAGGTCACACATGGGACTAATCTGATTCATTTTAAAAATAAATGCATGCATTATTGAATCATTTTCTACTTGTAATATCTGTTGTGTGCAGTATTTGAAAGAGATTTCATGTTGTTTTTTCATTGCTGTTTTAGCAGATTCTCCTCACCCCCCTCCACTTTAATTTAACAACCTCCACTCCTGCCTCTCCTAGCCCCCCTACTCCTAGTGCTCCAGAATGATTCTTCTAATATCTGTCATTCAGGGTTGAGATCCAAGCTCTGGAGATTAATTAGGTCATGAGGCTTCCCCCCTCCCTTTTTTGTAAAGGGTTTTATCTCCTTTCTCTTTGTGAAGAGCATGAACTCAATGCTCTTGGAGAGAGAAATGGCCTTTAGAAACAGGGAAGTAGGAGATCCTCCTGGGGCCCTCAGACTCTTTTAGCTTCTGGGTGTTTTAGCAGCCCCATGAATGCAGATTTGTAAATTTATTGCAGTGCCATCTGGTTTTTTGCTTGAACCAGATTACTGTTGGCTTGTGTCTGTCTATTGTGGTGGCCACTCCCTAGGAGCTTGCCCTCTCAATCCCAGGAAGAGTGATGAATAGCAGGGGTCAATGGAAGCGGGTCACAGGGCAGCTGTCCAGGGCTGCCCTGAACTTGATTACCCCACTACTGATTTTTTTTAAAGGTAGGACATAATACATAAGCTGTTTAAACTCCCCCTTTTTTCTGTTGCATACGACAGTAATGAAGTGCCAGTTGTTGTTTGTTGTCTTTCCCCCACATAGTCATGTTCTATAGACAAAAAGATATCACGGCTACCTTAGAACTGGAGCTGATGGCAGGTAGGATTTGTGTGGTGTGGGCCAGTCCCTTAACTTGAGATTGTCTTACAGTTATTACTAATGGGATACCAAGAACTCTTTCATCTTTGATTATAAAATGTTGTTCTGATAATTTCTTGAAAATGACACTTAACAAAACTCAGACAAGGTGAGACAAATTTGAAAAGCCCTGTTATAAAGTATATTTATAGTATGTTATCACAAAAATTAAAAGGAAATAAAAAAGGAAGGAGGTGAGATGGAGGGTGGTAGGAAGTATCACTATGTTTAACATTGTATATATAAAATACATGATATCTGTTTTATAAGTGTTAAAAAGATGAGAAAAAGAAATTTAATTATCAGAATGCAATGTGGTTTCACTGGTGAATTCAGTAAACATTTCAGGAAGGAAATAAGACCAATCTTTTGCAGAAATACAAGAAAAGGGAAGAGGAAAGAATACTTTCTGGCTTAAGAGACCACCATGACAGTAATTCCCAAACCTGACTAGGATATCACTAGAAACAGAAATACTGAAGGACAAAGTCATGAGCTGCCATCCCCTGTGTCATTGTGTCATTTTGTGTAACTGCTTTTCTGTTTCATTCCCAACATCTGGAGGAGGGACAGTTGGGAGTGTATCCTTGTAAAGTCCATTTCCTTATTTTCAGAATAATCTTCCCATCTCTTGGCATTAAGTAATGTGTGAACTTTTTATTTAAAGTTTGTACGAAGTAGCTACAATTTTACTTCTACTTTTACTCCTAACTTTTGGAACCAAGGAAACCGTCACCATTGCTTTCATAGCTTGTATTCATATCTGTAATCAATGCAAAGGCCTGGGATGATGCATGGAAGCATCATTACTTTTTGAAAATGTGGCATTACAACATGCAACTATTCTTTGCCTCTCGTTCGTGCTAATAGGATCTGTCAGCCCTGCCTTTCTCTGTAATTGAGTAAATTGTGACCGCTGTCTAATCCTCCTCCCATCCCCCATTCCCTTTGTGTATGTGTCTACTTACCATCCTGAGAACGTGGGCAGTGATAAATAAAGCATTGAGTAGAGCTCTCTCAACTCTTTGAAAGCAGCATGATGCCAGCCCTCTAGTTATATTTCTTTAAGTGTTCACGTTTTTCTGTATTCTGTCTCTTGTGTAGCTGGAACCCTGGGGATGCAAAGCCATGAGAGAGGCCAAGAAGCTAACAAAGTAGCTGTCTCCCTTGTTAGCTTGTTCCTTTATTCTTTAAAAACAAGATAAAAACCATCTGGCTCAGGGCATTACATTTTCCTCCCCCATGCACCTCTATAGATGGAGACTTCACCTGCAGTGAGGGTTTACATTGATTAGGGAGGGAGCAGTAACTCAAGCTTCCATCCTCTTCAAGGATACTTTGCAGTCTTTAAAGGTGCTGACCCACTGAGTTAAACTGTCAAGGGAGGATAAAAAAGTGTCTTCATCCCAGGAGGTAACAGCTGCCAGGTTTTCAACACCTTGCACACTGCTGGAAAAATGTCACAATTGTCAGCGGAAAGAAAAATGACCCTGTTGTCATCTTCTGTTAATGACTGGGCCTTATAAAAGCAACTCCATAAGCGTTTTAGAAGGAATGAGTAGCTGTTTTCCTTGCCTATTATATTCTCATCTCAAAAAATTCCTACATTGTTCCGAACATCACTTTGGAGTAGATCTACAAAAAGCAGTCCGGAGGACCAGAAAGTTCAGACCAGTGGTATAAGCATGGAACTCTGAGGGGCATAGCTGCTTTATACGGTTGGTTGAGTAGGAGGAAGGAGTTCATCACTGACATGGAAAATGAGATGAGAGTGTGTATTAAAACAACAACAACAAGTCATGTACAAGCCAGTGAACTGGGAGGAAACATACTGTATTTCTGTTCTTTGGAGGACAGTTTGTTTGCAAGCAGCATCCAGATGGGTAAATATCACGACACTGATTTTTTTTTTTTTTTTCAAGAGAGCCACTTCTTTTCGTTAGGAAAAAAAAAATACAGATTTTACTTCCTTTAATAGCTCGGTAATTTTCGTATCTGATGACATTCCCTTCTTTCTTATTTGATTGATGAAAGGAAAAGGTTTAATGAAGTCTCTGGTATCAGGCAGGCAGTTTTTTTCCTATTTGTTTTAGGTTAGTCATTTTAATTGTATTGAGTAATTAGAAGGTACACACAGCCAAGGGAGCTTTGTTCTGATAATTGCTCAAGAAAATCCATTCTCTGTCTGCCATTGCTTTATGTTGAGACACTTCTCCCTCTAGTGGCAATAGTAAACACTTGGGCTTGGCAGTAGGCAAGGTGTAATTGCAGTATGACAAACTATGCTTAAGGGACTATCTTGTAAATACTTTAGTTTTGGGTTTGGCATTATTTCATTAT